TTTTTTTTCGTTTGGGGGAAAACTAAAACTGGTCGCAATTTTCGAATAAGAATGAGTCGGCAATTTTTAGTGGAGTCGAACATTTGGAGGTAAATAAAACACCGAAACCCGGCAAATAAATAGGAGATCGAATTTTTAGAGGGGTCGAAATTTTGGAGTTTTTGCGGTGCTAATTATTCCATTTCAATGAAACTTAGTACAAAGATGCTCTAGGACAATGTACAAACCTAATTAGTTTGGGGTAAAAATCTGTTCATATTAATTCCCTAATAAGCATAATAATTCATAATTTTTTGGTTCTAATCACATTTCAATTAAACTTGGAGACATAGATTTTCTGTTACATTGCGCAGACCTCATTAGTTTTACACTCAAATCTGGTCATATTAATTTTTTGATTTGCATAATTAGTTTTCAGCTAAGTAATTTCGAATTATATTTAATGTGTCTCCAATACTCTCAGCACATGGGAGTTCTTTCTAAGCTTTCTTTGATTTGTTATTGCGATTTTGGGTGTCATATGCTTTTAACGTACGTACATGCTTACATCACATCACCATAACCGAACTTCATTTACGGTTCATATCTAGATTAATTGCAACCGCTAACCGAGTGTCAGTTAACGATGTATATATGTAAAAATAAACATTAGTTATTCTATATCCAACACAGTTCCATATGGCAGCCAGGCAGACTACGTCACATTGTGGTGGAATAAAAGAAACGAGAGCAATCAGTTATTTGTAACATTTGAAGAAATGAAAAAGGTAGACTGAATATAACCATTGAGATTTCAGTGCCATGATATAACCAGCGGCATCGTTGTAATATAGGGCCTCAAGAAGTATGGTCTCCAAGCTGATGATTATAATGCAACATATTAACAATAATACGTATTTCAAATGTTTAGAGCTTCGCCTAACACATAATAAATAATACAAAAGTTACAATTATATGTATCATCGCCGATTCATAGTGATTAAAAAGGAGAAAACGTATATTGACAAATTGTTGGGTAGATTCTGAACCGTCATAGAATCCCCTCGATTCTACATTGTTCATAAATTGGACACAATAGGAAATGATTTTCATTCTCCATGACATGTTATCCCTTTCTTTGATGTAAATACACCACAAATCATCATCATCATAATCCGACTATTTCAAAAGTACATATAAAACACATATGACATGCTTCAGGATGGCGTAGCCTATCCATTCAATCATTTTGGACAAGTTCGCAACACTGGCAACTTCGTCCTTGGCATCATTACCATTCATTCATGCATGTATATTTCAGTTTCCTTGTCACCCATGTACAAAGCACATGGACTCAATACACACCCTTGCCTCGTTCCAATTTTGCTGTCACAAAAATTGATCAGGCCCGCCCGGTACACAAAATACAGGACTGAATTTGATTGTATATTTAGCGCAACATACTTAATTTATGATCGAATATTTATGACTCCATTTATTTGATTGTGTAATGCTACTTGAGAAACAAGAAACGTTGACGAGAATGCCCAGAATATGGTTCGGGGCGTCATGTACATTGAAGCGTTTAATATTCAGTATTTATACCACATAATTGTTATATGTTGATAATCAGTGTACATGTTTTAAATGACAGGATTTGTCAGCTGGTGTCAAGAAAATAGCCCATTTCCTTGGTAAAGATGTAACTGATGAGGTAGCTGAGACTATAGCAGACCGTTGTTCATTTAGCAGTATGAAAGTAAAAGCTGTGGCGGCACCAAAAAAAGAGAGCGGAGCTTCTGGTCCCATAATGTACAGGAAAGGTGAGCACATTCGGTTAAACAATTTATCACGGGTCGGTCTCTATATCCAAGAATACTTCGTGTTCTTTAATACTTGAAACATGGACGTACGTCCATGCTTTAAATATACCAGTTATGTTACGAATGTATGGTTCAAATGTAATGTTAGGATTAGTCCAAGTTTTAGCCAACCTTGTCATTGGACGACATTTTCAAATTTAAAATTTTGAACCCGGGAATAAGCGCCCATTTAGTCACTCACTCACTCACTCACTCATTGACTCACTCACTCACTCACTCGTTGTCTGACAAATGTTTGTTCTTGTACTTACATCTGATAGGAATTGCTGGTGGCTGGAAGAAGACATTCACCGTAGCACAAAGTGAAAGATTCGACTCATTTTTCAACGAAAAATTTGCAAATATTGATATTAACATTGAATACGAATAATCACGGCAATTTCGCCCACAGGGCCGCCCGCGTATACATGCATACGTGTGTCAACATTACGTATCTACGTTGCATTGGTTTGTCATTGAAATAAACATATTGCACCATTCCCTATTGAAATTCAAGTGTGTCATTATGTAATATATTCACAAATATTAAATACAATTTTAGTTATTATATCGTCCAACTGGATACTTTTTCTTCAATGGATGTGGTGGCATACAATGTTATGTATGCTCGAGCCGAAAATATGTAAAAATAACAGATTTAATTGGTGTTTAAGGGACCAATTTACTTTAAATAATAGTATATATTCAAATGAACTAAATACATTGTACTCAACTTTACGCAAATCATCATTTGACTTTTAAATAATTTGTTTCATTCATACTTTTTACGCTACTGTATATGTATGCTGCTTTGTTCGGAACTGTTAAACACTCAAAACATTTCTAGAACAATCTTTATAAATGCGCAAATGTAAATTAAATTAAGCACATTGGAGACAACATTTGTTATTTGACCGGTCAGTCGGGCACGTGACATACGTGTCACTGTGTTGTATTGCAGTTACGTTATACAAATAATCATCTCACTCAAATAAATCATGTGTAAAATTCTTTGGTTGTTGGTCTGTATTCAGAAATTTATTGAGGGCATATTTCCGTGTGTGAACACTATCTAACGTGTTGGATCTGACACTAAGCCCATATAGTTTCTGCAATAGGCGAGTTTTCCTTTTTGCCGTTCAAGGTTGAAACTCTATTTGTCCAAGGCATTTATGGGAGGATCGACATTCGTTACTTAGTGTGAAACATATATGCATTATTTTATAGCAAGTTCCTCGTGAAATGAAATATTGACTGAATAGCGCCTTTAACGTCATGAATATATTTTGCAAATTGCGACAAATATTATTAATTAAGACAACAACCTCAACTTGTGGATAGATATAAAAAAGTAAAAGTTTTAGTTTTGCAATTTGGGCATTTGACTGTCCGATAAATAGAAGCAATGATATACCTAGCAAATCAAATGCGATTAACGTTGCTGGTGTAGATATGGGGAAATATTAATTTATATTCAAATGTTAATTACGACCTTTTATATAACTATACGTATTTTCGGATAGGATGGTGCATTTTGAGTTATCGCTTACTTAATATATGGAAAATTATATGAACAACATAAAATAGTTGAGGGTGCCCTTCAAATGTACACCGATAAAGTATCCTCGGGGGCGGACATCCGGGCATTTTCTACCGCCTGGCAACCCTCGCGGTGAAAACAAAGACCAAAAACTCACAGACAACGGTACTTTGCGATGGTTGTTGAGAGTCCCCTGAACAGTGTAATAAGATTATCCATACGTGTGTAACATATATGAATTTGGTTGTTCAGGATTACTTCCAAGTTGAGTTTGTGTTATTTTCTCGAGTTTTCACCGGCTCCACCGGCGTTCCACAGCAGAGCGCACAAAGCCCATAGAAATACGTGGTACAGTGGTGCGCGTCTTAGCAACATAGAACGTCCGTGACGTAGCTCCGCCCCCCGTGGATACAGTAGATGCAGGTTCGCGGGAAATTCGTGATAGTGAATTTGTTTGGTCTTTTATTATCCAAACAGTCTTGGCTAGATAACTCTGTCAATGGTGGAACATACTCAAAACGCGGTTTTAAAATATAGAGAGCCGAGGCACGCTTTTTTCGCGCAAAACAGCTTAGTGTTACCATAGCGACATCATGTACGCACATTTGCATAGATATGGTAGACATTATAATCATTTATTGCATGACTTTTATAAATATATTGTTTACTACGATTTAATAGTGGCGAATTTGCTGGTAATCACGTGATTGTGTCAACGAATGCATTGTCACCATGGTGAGTGTATTTGCATTATGTAGTCGATTGATGAATTACTGAAACTATGCTTTATTTTATGCTTTACTAACGTTTATATTGTGATGCAGCGTCGAAAAATATTGAAATACTTGTTTATAAATAATTTTAACATTGCCATGTTACTTGTACAGAATAACTTGATAAACTACCCTACTCCGGTGGCTCAAATTGAATATATACTTGTATATTATACCTCATTGATACAATTTTGTAAGATTACCAATCATAAAAGACCAACAATGCGAATGACCGGTGTTCGTAGCGATGCCAACTACATAAATAATACATAATATACATGTATATAGCAACATTCGTGAGATAAATAATATTCCTGCATCAACAATTTCCATCATCTATTTACGCTGACCACTCACTCACGATTTAAAAACAAAAAAACTTCCTAACAACAATAATCGTATTCACTTGGTGTATATAGGTAGAAAAGCTGCCACAACAGTGATATAAATACTATATAGAATTCGGTGCCAGAACTAAACACATCTTGTTTGAGAGCTACTGACTTTGATATATAGATTTCAACGCCTCCATGATTTACCCGTGTTTTTAGGTTACAAAATCACCGGGATAGTTATCATCGCTTTTGAGAGCAGAAACCGACAAATATTGGGAATGAATAGGGTGAACAAGTTATAAATTGATCCGTGATTCAGTAATTCTTTAAAAGTTACTAAACATTCTACTAAATCATCTGGAACCTTAGATAAATGCGAATATGGTGGTGCATATGCCGTATACCAATGTTTATCCAATTTTACAATAATTATTGTACTTTTTTTGACTATTTCGACGAACAAAATTAACTACAGACTCGCTGCCGATAATCCACTGGCATGTCAAGAGTACAACATGCCTGTTCGATATTAATTATCTTTCAGAGATGAATTTCGTCACAGGGTGAGCGTAATATTAAAGAGGGTCGGCAAGGGGTATTTTTGTAAGCTGTAATCAATTGTTTTTGTTTTCGTAATAATGTAATTTAAATAAATAAAAAAACTCCGTAATTTGTACAAAGATATTATTCTTTATAAGCGTATACAACATTTTCTAAACTAAATGCCGCAATTCGTACGTAACTTCCAATTTGATTCATGAACACAAATTATCACTGGCAAAAATATTATAAAAATGTAACCAGAAATTTTCTTTATCTGTAAAGTGTAAAAATCTATTTTTTTTACTGTAAATGGAACTTTCATTTTATTTTCTGTAAAAACGTAATCGATCACCACGCTCAGTATACTCAGGCTGTACCCACGAGATACATATACTGCCCTCTCAGGCGAATACAATCAAGAAGAAATGTTCTCATCTACCAATATTTAGCTTACTCCTCACCGCTCAAATTCATGTACGTTTTAAATACTTTATAACATGATATACATGACCATCGTGACTTATTTCATGTAAAACAGTGTGACGAGGCTCAGCAAAACGGTTGACGCCACAACAAGATCGTTGGTCTGTAGACTGTGATAGCATACAGGTTTCAGAACATCACGCGAGATTTCGAGCCAAACAATGACGTCATACTAGGAAGTAAAAAGCATGTATCGTGACCTCTAATTACAGAGGTTTATCTGCAATATCACACATTTTCAATTTTTAGCGTTTTTTTGTAACACGTAACTATGGACCTGCGCACGTATCTACTTCGTCGAGGATATTGGGTTGATGGAAATGGATGTCTATTTCCGCCACTTGTCAGCCGCGATAACATTAATTCTCTTCCCAATTTTGACGTCATGGGTGACAGAGCCGACACTATTTTTCTCGTTGCATACCCCAAATCAGGTAAGAATCAGCATCGTCAGCCGTGTACAGGTCTGAATCTCATTTCACTGACATTGAATATTGGCCGTCACGTTGACATTTAGGTTAGCTTCATTCATGTACATGTACTATATATATATATATATATATCGACACGTGACCGTGAATAACGACACAGTGTATTGTAAACAATGTTTAATTGTTAACAGTGCATGTGATCTTGATACAACGTTATACATGGTCCCGGGATACTTAAGTTTATTATAATCTTGTTATAAATGTTGACACATCTTGAATTGTCACCTGAATGGCGTTTATTATTAAGTATATAACGGTATTTACTGTGCACGTATTTCCGAACTGTGTTTTATCTGTACCGTGTACTTTGTTTGCCCATTCCAATGTCTGGCTGTAGATATAATGATGGCACCCGCCATAGCTATATATATACTGGCCTCTATGTGATCTTACAATGGTGTCAATGGTGTCAAGGTATTCCATTTTCATGCAACGTTATATGTTGTTATTTTTACAGGTTCTTGTTGGGTGAAATATATTATGTCAAGTATTCTTCTATATGACTATCCGGACATTATGCATGAAATTGACAAACATCTACGAAATAGAAGCATTCTCACATGTTTGGAATATAGTTCACCGGAAACAGGTTAGTTCAGAAAGGGCCAAGACTGTTTCGGGGATAACATTGTCATCAAAATATTGTGTTGTTTATATCTCTGTACGTTCGTATTGGTTTTAAATAGGGTCACGACATAATGTTTGTTGTCATATTATGATAGATAAATATATATAATAACACAAACGAGATTATTATCTTTTATTTTATTTTATTTTTATATGTTAGAGTTATCGCTGTCACGTTACTCGCAAAGTGTAACCACGAACTTCGTCGAGTTTGATATACACTTGTTGGAATGGATTTTTGTTATCTTGCCCAATATTTTTTCAGGTGAACCGAATCATCAAGAATTACATACAATCATGGCTCGGTGCACACAACCTGTCATAATATCTACAAATGTTAATTGTTCGAATGCACCACAGAAACTGGCAAAGTCTCGAAATAAGGTGTGTCTAGGTATAGTATACAACCACGAAAATTAATTGTGTCTATGGTGAGTTTAACTGTACTATCACCAGTCTGAGATACACCTAACAGTTTATGAAAGTATTCCCTTTGGCTATATGAGCAATCACAGTAGGTGTATCTCAGACTGGTGACCGACCGAGAATGAAATCACTCCCGCCTTTTTATAGGGAGAGGGACATGGGTCACGTGGTATTTGTAATGTACTTATATAGGCCAAGCAGACCAATCAATATGTAAATATAACTGCAATGGGCGTACTGTGGGTATAGTAGTTGTATTGAGCGTCCATTAATGGAGAGCTCAAAATCAATACCAAAGTAATAAAACATCAAGACAATTGAATGTTAGGTAACGCTTGGTAACAATTTCAAAATAAACGAGAAATAACTGGACAATGGTGGCGTTCTGATATATAGTTTGGGATCAATTGAGTGTATTCAAGGTTGGTAATATGCTAATTTTCCCAATATGGAGTGACCTAATTCATAAAAAGCGTCCTCGCTCGGGAGTATCCAGGGCTGGTAACAGTACTGTGGAGCCTGTGCATTGTAAGACTCATTCCTTAGTAGTAATTGTAGTATAACATTTTACATTATCGTTTATAAGTAGTTTAATTCTAGTATAAGACTTGTACATTGCCTACCATTGGGAGTTTAATCGTATGATACTTGTGAGTGAAGCGTGTTTATGTATTATTATTAATTGTTTTGAACACACAACTGCGGGTGCATATTCCACGTTTCAAACAAATCATGTAGTTCATCATGGCTATTTCCATCAACAGCTCGTTTTCTTAGTGAGGAACCCGAAGGACGTATGCGTAGCACAGCTGAAAATGCTACTCACGGAAAAGGATCTTCAAACCAGAAGAGATTTTGAAAAATACGCTAACGAGTTTTTCGAAGGACGTGGTAAATCGTATATGTTGTTTATTACATATTCAATAGAGGTTTACTTCTCAAATAGTCATGTATTTTATTGATCAATGTCGAACAAACACAAATTACACACAATAAACAGAGCTAACTCAATAATTTGATTCGAACAAAAGGAGGTGTAGCCGTTGAACAAATAACTACCTGACAAAAATCTACAATCTGTAATCGAAAATATTTTAAAATTTACAGTTATATGTTTATTCTATATATTATGTTTTATATATTATCTACAGTACCCTTTGGTAGCTGGGTGGAGCACACACTGTCGTGGTGGGATAAGATTCAGAATAGAAAAAACTGTCTCTTCCTATCTTATGAAGAAGTCCGAACGGTAAAACTCCTAATTTTATCTTATTTATTAAGTATTTGTATCGTATCGCATAACTGCGGTACTGTGAATAACATATTGATATTTCAAAAATCGTCAACACTCACATATACCCCTTTACCGCTGTCGATATTCAAACATTCGGTCTGAAATAACTACTTTTGTAATGTAACAACTTATTGTTCGAATAGTAAATCATATACTGAGCAAACATTCAGTTGACTCTGGTTTTTTGAAATAGCTCAGTCAAAACTACGTACAAGTGAGCATTGTTTTAAAAGCACAAATGTTACTGCCATTTTAGCTTTCTTGAAATTGTAGGGAAGCATATGCTATAGAGGCTGGTTACAATAACTGCAATATATACGTACTCTCAAAGTATGTATTTATAATACACGTTTGTTGTGTGCAATATTATTTATATTAATAATTTAATAATGGATTTAACCAACCCGCACAATAAATATATATTTCAAATTTATTAAGAGAGCTGGTAATTACAGAAGTGGGACTGAGTCATTATTGACCAACCTATCAATTATCATTGGATTTGTCTTCTAGTAGTTGTGATATATTTTCACCGAGACACACGAGATGCCATCTGGTCTGAATACCCATATTTACAACCTTTAAAAATTGTTAATGATTGTTTTGTCGTCTTTACTATATATTAGTAATTATTTCCAAATTTGCCTCAGCAGACCATATAGCGTCATTAAATGCTATTAACTCAAGATTCACCCGAGCGAATCAACTTAATATTATAATTTCTCTATATTTTTTGTAGGATCTCCGAGCTACGATACATAAGTTAACCAAATTTCTATCACGATCATTATCTGCTGAAGATATATCAAGAGTCTGTCAGAAATGCTGCCTAACCAAATTACCGTGGAATGGAGACGGTGGTAACAACAAAAAGGATGAGTTTTTAGACAGTATAAATGACGGTGAGTTACTATAGTAATCGACAATGAGCACTAAGCCTGTTTACCATATTGTCTTGTGACCCATTGTTTATGTCACGCACTTCCTCCCGCCATTCGATAGTTTGTAGACACACAGACTACCATATTGTGAACGGCCCGGGGCGTACTTCACATTTACCACAATCCCTCTATAGAGGGACAATGTGCACGTACATTGTACATTGTAAATGCACACTCTTTTGTTTATTGTAAACTAGCCACACCACACAATAGCCAAATGTCTGGTTTTCGTAATTGGGGAGAAGGAAGAGTTATTTTTCAATTATTGAAAAAGGTTGTGAGTGCAAAACCAAACCTATAGAAGTGGGTAACACTGGGTAAAACCACTATTCTGCTGTCGATACGAATGACACCCATTTAAGAATGAATTAAATATCACGTGTTGTATATTGAATAATTATTGAGCAATTAAAGATACGTTTAATACTATAAAATTACTATAGTTCTGTGATCAGCAACAATAGCACGGGAGTTTGTATTTGATCATGTAGTTGTATAGAGACAATAGTTGATGTCGGCTGTTGCTGTAATTACCTTGTCTTCATCATCATCATTGAAGAATGTCTGTCCTCGATATTGTTGTTGTTGCTGTTATTGTTGTTGATATGTTGACTCCGTCGTGAAACTTTTTTTCAAATTTCTTTCAAACTTGAATATCATAGTACATGTTCTATGTATATTTTGCAAGACTATTACTAAATTTCACCTAGTACTTATTGTGGTTACAATCAAATTTGAGAATCTCACCAATCCAAATTTAATTTTGGTGTAACTGGCAATTGCAGTGTTTAAGATATAGGATACAATTTGACTGAAATAAAATATTTGCATAATATTTGTACACCTTTTATAATGAGAAGCAGATATGTCAATTAGATAAGTGTAGTAAACAGATGTTGTTATGAGTATAAATAAAAAAATTACAATTGCATTGTTTCCCACTTTTTTTAAAAACTAGTATTTTATTGCTAGTATTTTATTTATTGTTATATGTTATTTGAACACTTTGTTCAAATCATGCGATATTATTGTATAAGGTACATTTAGAGTAATACAGTACATGTAGTATTAAGTGAGGAACACATTGGTTAGTATTTTTCTTGTCAAATTTTGCGTAAATATGTTGCTGTATTATTATTTCTAATTTTTTTTATAAAATTACAGAATTATTATTATATTAAGAGGAACATTGAGATTAATGCAGTTCAGATAGTATTATTTAAGTAATATAAATATATTATTGCATTGTTTAATCATACTCACTTTTGGCTTGGAAAGATAAGATGTTGCTAATGCGTTTGTTAAACATTCATACATTTGTTATTTAATCTAGGTTCCCAAAGGACAATGTTGTAATAGTCATGCTATGTTATAATTCAAGCTATTTAAATACAACCTTCAATAGTGTATACAACATATAAAATCATATAAGAATATTGATAGTATGCTATGGTTAGATATAACGAACCCACAGTACGCCACACCATACCACGTCGTGGTATTTACAAAGCGTGACACACAACGTGGTCTGCTACACCTTAGTTATATAGATGTTTACAATAGAGATTCGACGAACAAACTACTATGACATAACGGCACGTCATAGCTGATTGCATGTTGTTAACCACCTGTCTTTGTATGTACATATACAAATATTCATATTTATATTACAGGTGAGATGAATGAATGGAAGGAATACTTCACAGTTTCACAGAGTGAACAGTTCGATGAATTACTGAAGCCAAAATTGACTGAATCCGGAATTTGCAGTAAATTTAGTTTCTAGACAAATTGTAGTTATATAGATACTGTTATTTGATTAGTTTAGTTTAATGTTCACAGTAGGAACTGCAAACTATTGTACTAAGCTCGCAGTTGAGTGGCGTAGAGCTTTCCTCAGTATTATGTGAACCAATCACCTGTATAATGGATTTATGCTGCAATCCAGTATCACTCAACCATCTGGCATGGTATATATAACCAGGTATTTTTTTATTGTATGTTCATGTAATTATTAGCAGTATATCTATGCACACATTTTTCATATTAGATATATCGAGCGGCGATCTAAAAAGCCGTAGTCGTTTTTATCAACCTATTCAGTTTGATATGCGTTTTTCAGAAAAGTGACCATGCCTGTATTTTACTTACACATTGTGCTCATAATGCTTTCAATTCTTGTTCGTTTGATTTACTTTAACACTAATTTAACTGGTAACAACTCTTTCTCGTTCATTAAAAAATTAGTATTGCTATTTCTTGGAATCAATAACCTATATCAGCCTTGTTATATCTTATTCTAACACATGTGACACGTCTAAAATGTGTATGTTGGTCAATAAGAACATGTTTGTATTTTAACTGTGGAACAAAATGCTAATATCGATTTCCTTCTTATTGCGAATTCAAAAATATAAGTAATGCTATCGAAATCACCGGATGCACATGAACCGCGTTCAGTATTTTTGCTGACTCAGCTACGATGACTACAGTGAACTCACTCGCCAACAAGTTAACCCTTCTACATTTTTGAGGAATACAGCTACGCAACTGCGTCTACTTCCTGAATAGTTTTGATTGAAATTTAATATATTAGAGAGACGAGAACGAGAATTTGTTTCAGGACATTTTGTTATGGCGAAACATTTTAGAAGATATTTTACAGTAATGTTACTGAGTTACTGAATAATAGCGTTGACACTAAATAAGATCACAAATTATCTTGTATCTATACTCTTGTCGAGACTTTAGATAATATAAATAAGACACAGTTCCTGGCACAAATTCTCTGGGCCGTTAACCAGAGATGGTCAATTGGTCTACAATGCGCACAAACGAAAGTATTGTGCAGTTAATTGTAAAATATGTATCCCGGATTTCGCAATTTGTTGTGTTATAAAAAGCTAACGTGTTAACTTGGTGGTTGAATTAAAGCCATTTCATTTTTTTTATTGTTATTATTGACCACTCATAGTCACGTACTAGTAATATCATGATTATTCAGAGTCAACGCGATCCTGTCGTTCTGAGAGAGTTAATTTTTAATGAGCTTCTTGAGCCACTCCTCTAGGAATATACCAATCAAGCTTGTCACCCTCCATTTTTACTGAACAGGAAGTAGGAACCTACTAACAGGTGTTTCATATTGGGTAAATTTCGGTTAAGCGCCACCTTTTTGCCAAAAATTGCCATTAGTAGTTTTCCGCTACGGACAGCTTGTGACGCGTGCGATGCGTCAAACTCGGGAAAGTTGTCACGAGAAACTGTTAATGGCGAGAACTATAAAACATTAATTTAAACCTTTGACACTTTTCAAAACATTGGATTCGATGCTAATATCCACGTGAATAAACAGTGTTAAACAAACATTAAATGTTTTCGAAATTGCCGTTTTATTAGAAAATGCTGGTGGGAGTTTTGTTTTTATTCTTTAAATATTTCGTCTGTACACCGACCCAGCAAAAATCCAAGTATTGGCATTAGGGTAGTTTTTATGATTTCCAAGCAATATTTCGGCTCAAAATGGATGACTAAGCTTAAGCAATTATTTAATTTGTTCTTCTATATCTTACCAGCCATACTTAAATCGTCAGGGCCCTGTGGTCATTGGTTGCTACACCGAGTTGTTGATTTGCTGCGCTTAGGTGTTACCGACAGTAATGCAATATAAAGGACCACTTTGCTGCAGTTTAAATTTCACCCAAACCAAATTTGTTTTATTACAAAACAATAGACTAACGCAATTTATATATTCTGTTTGCGACATGCTTGTATATAGTCTCCAAAAAATATCTTACAAAAGTATTACGAACTCCAAGATGTTGTAAATTATATTCAACATCAGTTATCATAGTGTGAATGAAAGAAAAGCATGTTTTTCATATTTCTGATATGCATATCTGCAACTCACCCACATCATGAAATCACAGAGAGCTCAGTGCTGAACTGTAATTCATTACGGTCAACCACTGGTAGTTAACAGTAATTGGCGGGCAGAAACTGAGACATTTGCTGTAGGCATCAATCAGACAAACTATAACAGATTACTCGAGTATAAAAAATAGTGTATTTTACATAGCTTTGCTGACTTCAGTGTAAAAAGTCTGTTGATGTATTTTATATACACGTACAATCGAATAATGTCATTTGTTGATAATGTTTGCCATGATATTACAAGTGACATTTGTAATCAGATGACAAATATCAAATCAAATATCGTATAAAAAAAAAAAAAAACTTTTAAATTTGTTTCAGTTTTTGACAAAAGTTTTTGAAAATCACAATTCAACCATAATATATACACGGGCCGGTTGACAAACGACTGTGACAGTAGCGTATGCGCAACATGATTATTGAAATAAAACTTACCTTGTCAATAGTATACTCCTTTCCTCTAGGTGCAAAAATGACTGGATACAACGCCCTCATGATTAAATAGATTAATGCATGCGTTTTTTCACACACCATTTAATAAAAATACACATAACAAGTTTAAATGCACACAGCACTTGAAAATAATATACAAGTCACATTTAAACAATCACGCTCTTTAAAAAAAACATCGTTTCAAAATATCAAGGACACATTTAAAACACACTAAATATAATACATCGGAATACTCAAGTACAATACCTCCAATTTTATGTTGATACAAAAGTAAATGAAATCAATATAATTGGACTGGATAACTGATGTTTTACTCATTAATTACTTGTTGAATCCTGCTATCTGTCGGCACTCTTTTCCAAATCTCTATGTATCAATATAGTGAAGATGACCAAGATCGACCCCATTTTGCTAATTGAGACTCGACATTACTATTGGTCAGTGACCATGATTGATCGTATGTTGTTAACATAGCAACATTCCTAATCTTACCTCGGGAAAAAATTACTATTTCAGTCTTATTTGAATTAACTGTCAGGTGCCAATAATCGTACACTGTGTTTATAACGGATTGCTATCCGATTGGTGCCATGACAACAATGTCATCAGCATATTTAAGAAAACAACATTTTAATGAACGTTTCTACATCATCATCACTTTATGCTGCATTAATATCAGTAGATATCACATATGGTCCTATGCGTAATCAGTTTAGCCCGAACAGAGAGCCGGTCAATAAGGTCAAATGCCTTTTTATAATCGATGAAGGCGCTGTAAAATTGCTTACGGTGAGATTGGTACAATTCTATTAAAGGACGTAGTACAGAAGCTTGATCAAGCGTGGAATAACCTTTTCTAAAACCCGCCTTATCGTCACCCAACATGCCAATACCTTCAATATAATTAAACAGCCTATTATTAGTTGTAGCTGTGAATAATTTACTAAGACAGCTCAGAAGAGAGATTTCTCTATAGTTGTTAGAATCATCGGGTGAACCTAACCTTATTATAGACTGTTTGTGGATTTTTATATCAGCGTTGTCAATATTTAACATTTCCAAGGAATTGAGGGCGCTTGTGTAACTGTGCTAGTTATGACCCATCTTTGCCAGTCAAGGACCAATTATTCGGCCGAAGCATCAACATTAACCCTTAGCAGATTTCACCGCGATTTACTATATGTCGCCGCTCTCAAACGATTATAAGATTTACTTTGGCTCATTTGCATCACCCAGTCAGAACTAACGAAAGAAACTACACATTACTTGGTAAAATTAAAATGGCGGAGTCAAATAAAAGTGTTTTTTTTTTCTATGAACGAGCTTACTTATCATCCAAACGAAAGCACTTAGTGCTGTATCTGATGAAAATGACGTGTTTGTTGCAAACACAAACACGAAGACCGAATCGGGAAAGTCGATATGTTATCAGTTTCAACAGTTTTGCCAGTTTACTAAAACGCAGTTTGCACAAATATTTAGACATTCCATCGTCTTCATTCACTTTTCCACAAATAATTTTCAACGTCGGAATAAGAAATATTGGAAACGTGTTAACGTATATAGACCTGCTGTTCTTGATTCCGGTTGAATCCGCGCAAAGCTAACACGGCGCCATCGTTTTTAATCTGTGATGAGCTCCCCTATCTTTACATTTATGGTACAGTAACTCTGAATGACCGACTTTGTGCGATTCGGACGATGGTTATTGACCGTAATGCAAACAACACAGTGTCGGCCCGACAAACATTTATCCATAATATCTATGCTAAATTGAGTGATTTTCAGCATTATACACAGGGACATGGCGTAATAACGTAATCAACAACGCTATTGCCAGACACATTACAACACGTGAAATTACCGACAAAACAGTCGTTACCAAAGCGCCCGTTCATGATTTTCATGTCGAGTTCTTCACATAATTCAATCAAGCTTTGACCCCTATTATTAGTGCGAGAATCGTTGAATCGTTTTGATGGGATGCCAAGTAATTCGAAATTATTTTTTAATCAAATAATTTGCATATTTTTTTTTAAATTAAAAGTACAATCAAAATACTATGAATTGGCGTTACAAATTGTATATAGCTCAGCAGAAGATTTGTCGACAATATCTGTTTTAGTTTCACCAAGTCAAAATTGTGGCCATATTTGTCAAAATACCACACTGCATTATATATAATACACAGACCACAGGCATTCGAAGCATAGCAGTGATCTAACTTAGGTATCTGACTATATCTATCACATAGAAAGGAGCATACAGATATGGTTACGTGAGTTTTGCCTCCGTCTGACTATCCAATCATAAGCAGGTCATCAAGTTAGTCAATTGTCAATAGTTACATAAAATGTTGTGAGTTTCGATTGACCATACCTTCTTTATACTTGGATCTTATCTCATTTCGCCATCACTTTTGATTCCAGAGTTGTTACGTCTTCATTAATATACACAGCATTCCAGTTCGGCTTATTGTTTTATTTATGTTTATTTTTCTCAATGATTTTCTTTAATTATCTACAAACAAACTTCACAATAAGCGGGTTGGTCCCACGCCTTTCGGCAGTCTGTGACTCGCACTGATATCTTTGTTTTCAATTTCCACTATGTACGCATCAATCATTAGTCTTCTCCCTGTGTTCCAGCAATTCCATATACACGAACAATATCTCTCTTACCGCATTGCTCTAGTTTATCACAATCAAAATTACTTACGTTATGTCTTCTTGGATTCAGTAACACATCTAACTTTACGAGTTTGTTGGTTGATGCAGTTACAACATTGCAATACGCATTGGTTGTATAACAATCACGATCTGTAATACGATTTCTCTAATTACACCAGTATCAACTTTACCACTAGTCCAAACCAGTTCTTTTAGGGAAGGTTACCTACTCAATTGAAGTTTACCGTCATCTATTGCATAGACAACGGTATCGGAAACAGTTTTGTTCACATATTCTTGTATATCGACCCCTCCACGCTGATCCATTTCACAGGTGATTGAGTTATGTAACGTATAGTCAAGTAATGTGTTGGAAATAAGGTCAAACAAAGGACGATTATGTAAAATGGCAGATACTGTAATCGCGTAACAACTTGGTCAGGCAATAGGTGACTGGTTCAATGAGACCTACTATCTCTTCTGCGGTTGAATATCCCCAAATCACAAGAACAGTGAACACTCCATAGTTGAATATCCCCAAATCATATGAACAGTGATCACTCCATAGTT